TTTTCAGTGAAGTGATGAAGGAACTTCTGCTAGTCCTTTTTCTTTAGCATTATTTTTTGCGCATTTTATGTATCTCTGTTTCATAGGAGTTTCAATGTCAGTTGCATATTTATTTATACATGCTTTGTAAAACACGAAGTAACTAAAATGAGAATTGATTATGTCTTTGGATTTGTTCTCTTTCATGGTTTTTTATTCTTAACGTGTTTTATGGGTTTCTTTGCCAGCCTATTTTGGTCTACATGTCCAAGGTGGATGGCCGCTTCATGTTCAGCCCTATTAGTGTTAACTTTTTGACAGAGGTTGCAAAAGTTCTGTTTGCAATTGTTATGCTTCTATGCCAGGTACAGTTGCATATTTCTTAATCTATTTTTTTTGTTTTTCCTGTTGACTGAAATAAATATCCTTAGTCTAGTTTTTTTTGTATTAATTTTTTCTCTCCTTACCATATGGTAAATTCTTATTTGAGGCAGTGCAGGACTTTAGGGGGATTACATAGGCCAATCAGATCTTCATACTTTTATTTAAAAAAAAAGTAAAAAAACATAAGCCAATCAGATACATAGTTTTTCAGCTTCTTTGTCTCCACAATATAGTTGGCATCTCACCTTAATCTGAACAAATTATTAACAATTAATTTCTTGTTCCGTTGGTGTGTATTGAGATACCATTTTTTGTTCCGTTCGTCTGTATCGAGATAAAATTTCTTGGCTGCATGTCCATTTGTTTCGGAGAAGTTGGAATACTTGAGATGTAGACACAGTATTTAACTGAAAAAAAGTTATATTGTATGTTTGAGTTCCATTGAGAAGGAGCTCAAAATGAGATGTAGACACGGTATTTAACTGAAAAAAAGTTATATTGTATGTTTGAGTTCCATCGAGAAGGAGCTCAAAATGTTTATGTATGCCCATGTTTGTGTAATTTGCTCTTCTTGAGGACTTAATCTTCTTAATAGTAGTGTTTGCATGGAGCTTCCCACACTTTCTCTTTATGTGCATTAGTGTAAATTATTGTTGCTAACTTTGGTAATTCTGCAGGCTAGGCATCAAAAAGTTGGAGAGAAACCTCTTCTTTCCATATCAACATTTATTAAGGTGCTTCTTTTTGCTAAAGCTAATGGTTTTTTTTAATATATATATATATATATATATATATTTGAAGTAGTGAAACGAGGCAGCAGTCTTGGAGCTCATGTTTGATGATATTGAAGAGAATTTTTGCTTTCTTTTTTCTTTTTGAAAAAATATATAGAATCTTAGGTTCTTGTCATTTGCATTCTATTAAATGGCACTATGCTATTGTCAAAGTCCCATGATTATCGTATCATTTTGAAGTAACTGAGCAATATTTATGATTGGCATGGAAGACAGATGACTTAATGTGAAGGTGTTTATGCTATAGTATGGTAATTAATGTATTCCTGTGACAAATTGTTTCACTTGTTTCTTTTTTTTTTCCTCTCTTTACCTGGCTTTATAAACATTGTTTGGTGATGGCTTTATTCTATGCTCTACGTATAGGAAATGTAGACACTTTATAAAGGTCATTCTTATCTGTCATTTGAATACAATACATTGCAAAGGTAGATCCAGTGCTTCAAGAACTCATCTAATTTGAAAATGAAATTAATTTTTGAGGAATTTGTATAAGATAAAAGTTGGTACCTGGCTACAATGCAATAATCTTTAGTAATCTGTAGAATATTGATGAAGAATTTTGGGTTACTAGTATGGAGAAATTCTTATTTGAGTTAGAACTGATGTAGGTATTTGAAGAGAAAAAAGTTTTAATGATGTTGGATGGAAAGGATACATGTCATGATCTCAAAAGAAAAAAAAGATATATTCCAAACTATAAAACCATTATGGAACATATGGGACTTGATACAAAAGTATTCTGAAGTTTTTAGAGAAAATAAATTTCTAATTTTTTTTTTTTATTTTGTTTACATTTAGAAGATATATATAGATTAGTTATCCCTATTCTATTTGAACTCTAATTATAAGATATAATTATACTATTAAACCACTAAATAATATAGTATTATACTTAACATAAAATCCTTTTAAAACACTTCTTCTCAAGTTGGCGCAAATATGTCACACATGCCCAACTTGCAAATTAGGTTTTGAAGAGATTTGTTTCATACTTTTTTAGTAAAAATGTCAGCCACTAAGTCGCCAGAAGATACATGATATAAGCATAGAGAGTCACCAATCACCTTCTCTTTTATGAAGTATCGATTAATTTCAATGTGTTTTGTCCTGTCATGTTGAACTGGATTATGATCAATGTTAATTGCTGCTTTATTGTCACAAAACAGGGTTAGTTTCTCATTTTTAAACAATTTTAACTCCTTTATTAGATTTTGCAACCATAGTACTACACATACTCCTTGGGCCATTGTTCTATATTCTGCTTTAGTACTTGAGCGAATAACCACACTTTATTTCTTACTTTTTCATGTGACTAAGTTGCCTCCAATAAGTGTGCAGTAACCTGTAGTTGATCTTCTATCATATAAGGAACCAGCCCAATTGGCATATGTAAATACTTCTATTTTAAGGTGAGTGATCATGTTTAGAAAAGAGCAGACATTTTCCTAATGTAAATTTCAGGTATCGTAATATGCGGAAGACAACATGTAAATGAGTCTCACGAGAATCGTGCACGTACTGGCTCACAACACTAATTGCATATACTATATCGGGTTTGGTATGTGAGAGATAAATGAGTCTTTCAACTAGTTTTTGGTATCTTCCCGAGTCAACTGATGTACCACTACCTGCTTGCAATTTGTGGTTGCTTTCAATAGATGATTTTGCCGGCTTGCAACTTATCATACCAGTTTTTTTTAGTAAGTGTGGGATATACTTCTTTTGATAAAAGAAGATTTTTTTATTGAATCTAACAACTTTAATCCTCAAGAAGTATTGCAATGTTTCTAAATTTTTTATTTCAAACTATTGAGCAAAAAGTTCCTTCAACCGAGTCATCTCCTTTGTATTATCTCTAGTCACCACAATATCATCCACATAAACAATGAGAATAGTGACTTTACCTTCACAATATTTAATAAATAAGGTATGATCCGCATCGCTTTGTTGATTTCCAAAAGAGATTATAACTGTTCTAAACCGTTCAAACCATGTTCTTGGAGACTGCTTCAATCCATATAAAGCTTTTTTTAATTGACAAATTTTTTCTTGCATCATCTCATCTTCAAATTCAGGTGGAATTTTCATGTACATATTTTCCTCTAAGTCTCCATGGAGGAATGCATTTTTTACATTAAACTGCTATAAATTCCAATCAAGGTTAGCTGCACAAGACAAAAGTACCCTAATTGTGTTCATATTCGCAACAGGTACAAATGTCTCCTGATAGTCAATCCCATATGTCTGAGTAAATCCTTTAACCATTAATCTAGCTTTGTACCTTTCGATTGATCCGTCTGCTTTGTGTTTTACAGTGAACACCCATTTGCAACCAACTATCTTCTTTCCCTGTGGAGGTGAAACAAGTTCTCATGTTTCATTCTTTGTCAATGCTTTCATTTCTTCAATTATGGCTTTCTTCAATTTGGGATCTCCTAGAGCTTCTCTCCAATCCTGTGGAATAGACACAGAGGAAATAGACAAGATAAAGGCTCTATAGGAGGAAGATAGAGAGTCATAGGAAACAAGTTAGATATAGGGTGCTTAGTGTAAGTTCTCGTTCCCTTTCTAATAGTAATAGGTTTATTTGATAAATTACAAGAGAAAGATAACTCATCAGTATCTTCTGGAAACAAAGAAGATTCTTGACTTGGGACAGACTATATAATAACTTTTTCAGACTTCTCTCTCATTGTATACCTTTTCAAGTTTGATTTATTTAGATGTCCAACATTATTTTCTTGATTAAAACTTTTTATAATAGAATTCTCCCCCTGAATATGATTCTTAATCGTTACCCAATTAAGTGTCACTTCTTCCTTCTCACTCTACCCTTGAAGAGGTGTTGGGTTTGAGTTGAAGTAAGACTCATTCTCCCTAAAGGTAACATACATAATTACAAAGTATTTTCTAGATGCTGGATGATAACACTTATAGTCTTTCTGGGTCGAAAAATATCCAACAAATACACACTTAAGAGCTATAGGTTATAGTTTACCCATATTTCTAGGATGAATAAAGCACACACATCCAAACGCTTTTGAGGGAACAATGTAGGAATTTTTTCCTTACAAAACTTCCATAAGACTTTTAAAATACAGGATCTGCAAAGACATTTTATTAATAAGATAGACAGCTGAGAGAACTGTATCTCCCCAGTAACTCTTTGGTAGATTCATGGTGAACATTAGTGACCGAGGTACCTCTAATATGAGTCTGTTTTTTCTTTCAGCAACTTTATTTTGTTCACTGGTGTAGACACAATTTATTTGATGAAATATCCCATTTGATTTCAAGTAGGCACGGAAACCACTATCCATATATTCTGTACCATTGTCAGTTTGCAGAATCTTAACTTTAGCACCAAACTATGTACATATCATTTTGTGAAAAAATTGAAAATATGAAAATACATCACTTTTTACTTTTAACAGATAAATCCATGTTAATTTAATACATAGTGAATAAAAGTAATAAGTTATCTATAATCAGAAAGAGAGGTATTCTGAGTAGGTCTCCACACATCAGAGTGAATAGTATTAACAGAATCAATACTTCTATTATTACTTAAATGATAAGAGCTCATTTTATGTTTAGCAAGTTTGCATGCATCACAAAATAAAGATTCCATAGAAGTTCTTTTAAATAATTTAGCATATAATTTTTCTAAAACAAAATAGGAAGGATGTTTCAATCGTCGGTGCCATTGTAGAATCTCTACATTGACTTCTTTATTCCCTGTGGTTGCTTGATTTCCAATTAAGTTCAGATGTTTATCTAAGACATATAAATCATCTTGCAGTCTACCAGTGCCAATTCTCTTCTCGGTTTGAAGATCTTGAAAGATGCAATTATCAAGAAAAAATTTAATTTTATAGTTGAGATCTCTAGTTATAGCACTAATAGATAAAAATTATCAGAAAAACTAGGCACATGTAAAACTGAAGAAAGTGTAATAGTAAGAGTACAATTAATAGAACTTGTTCCCGATACGGGGGTGTATGACCCATATGCTATACGAACATTATCCCATTTAGTACAAGAAGAATAGGTTAAGAATTTTTTAGAAGAGCATCTCATGTATCTGTTAGCTTTAGAATCTATGATCTAATTATCAGGAGTGGAAATATAATGAACAATACCTAATTTTATCATATTTAATGTGCCAACAGTTGATGGAGAGTTAAATTGACTCAGAAGGCGTTTCAAATTTTGAATTTGTTCTGTGGAAAAGGCTCCAATGGATGGTGAACTAGCTGTTTCCCTAGCTTCAACAAAATTTACTTGAGCTCTTGTGGTTCCACCTCTTCTTCCTCTCCGACCTCTAATTGGTCTTCCATACGATTTCCAACAAGTTTTCCTAGTGTGCCATGACTTGCCACAATAGTCACATTTCCATATATCTCTGGATTGATCAGACTGAGCAACTAATTCAGCTTTCTTAACTGGTGCAATGTGAAGCATGACATTTCTTATACTCTCTTCTTGCTGAACATAAGCATAAGTTTGTTCTAATGAAGGAAAAATATCCTTACCAGATTCGTATTTGATCATATTTGGTGTTCAAACTAACTAAAAAATTATAAATTCACTCTTTTTCTATCAATTTCTGAAATTTGACTGCACCTGCAGGGCACTCTGCTTGAAAATCTTAATAGGAATCTAACTCCTACCATAATCCATTTAGTTCAGAAAAATATTGAGAAATAGTCATCTCTTTTTATTTTGTGTCATGAACTTTATTTCAGAGTTCATAAATTTGAGCGTCATTACCGATCTATGAATATGTAAGAGATACTGCATTTCATATTTTTTCGGCAGTGTTAAGCAACATATATGTTCTGACAATATAGGGTTGCATGGAATTTATGAGCCATGACATTACCAATGAGCTCTCAGAGTCCCATCTATTATATTCTAAATTACTAATATTTGGTTTCTTCACCTCACTAGTAATTTAATCCTGCAATCCTCTAGATTTGATGAACAATAAATAAGATATCGATCAAGTAAGATAATTAATTCCATCAAGTTTTACGGGACTAATTTGTAATGAAGGATTATCAAAGTTAGTAATACTCACTTTTTTTGCTTCTGTCATTTTAGAATGCTAAAAATAAAAAGAAAAAATACACAGTAATGAAAAATGGATCTCTTATCTGCACCAAGGAGCCAAAAAAACGGAATTAGATCTGGTTCGGCTCTAAACGGCTCGGCTTTAGTTCTAAAACGGTTCAGACTCGTCTTTAGAACGGCTCACACTCGGCTCAAAGTCGGCTTGGCTTGTCTTCTCTGGACAGATCTCTGAACGTGCGCAGAAAAAGGTAATGGTGTGGCCTTTTTTACCTGCATCTATTGATGTGCAGCTGTAATTTTTTATTAGTGTTTCTGGATGTGCGGTTTAAATTTTTATCAGCGTCTTCGGATGTGCGGCTGCACTTTTTTACTGGCACTTGAGGATGTACGACTGTAACCTTTTACCATGCTTATGGGTTGTGCGGTTGTATATTATTACCGGGCGCTTTCAGAGATGCACTGTACTTTTTAGCGACGCCTGCGATGTA